TTTGGCTTCCGGGGCTAACCCCGTGCGAATGTTCGAAGGGGCATGGCAAATAACCTGGCGGGAGGGGTTTGAGTTTGCAGACCCAGAACGAGATGACGTAACGGCGGAGGTAAAAGTCGCTGCGGCGGGGGTTTTCGAGCTGCCAAATAAGGTCATACGGATGAGTCTACCACCCTTCCTGCTAAGACGAATGAGAGGCATAGAACGAGTGGAGCAGGCGGTGACTGTCGTAACTAGGCTAAATTTTGACGAAGCATTAATATACCGAGAATACTATCGGACCTTCCTAGAGATGGGGCCTTTTCGGGGACGAACAAGGGCGCGAGGTGTTTTGCATTCTACGAGCAGCGGTAAATGCTAGGCCAGGAGTCCCACAAGTAAGTGATGAGACGATGTGGAGAGTCATGCGGCGAGAGGTAGGTCAGGGCGCGACCTACATAGATGATCTCTACCGGTTGTACGAACAGCCAGAGGAGGCTACTGCTCCCGGGGGTATAGAGGGATAGTTGGGACTAGAAAAGAGAAATGAAAACACGAAGGGCAAGGGAGACAGTAGGTGGGCGGATTCTGAAGATTGGTTGTAACCCTTTCTATGTGGACTATGCAGGGAATCACCAAGGTAACGATGGCAGCAAGACGTGAGCGAGTGGAACGCCAGCCCCGGTACCCCGGACCGCCCTGGAACAACGGTAGACGATGGGAAGTATCCCTCGCGTCGAGTTCTACCTATCGGGGGTTCGACATAGAATGGCGGGTCGTGACTTTGGGAAGGGACGCCGCCTTCATGTTGGTAGAATGTCGGTGGACAGGGATGAGACTCAACCGAGTACCCGAAGACGATCTGTTTTCCAATCCGGAAGTTACCGGAGCCATGTATCTGCCCGAGATCGGCTGACACTCGTTGGGGGTAGAGATAGCACAAGGTCACGAGCTGGCACCGGTATTTCGGAGGGCCGCCCGGACATTGACCAGGATAGGACAATCGGTCAGGGGAAGAAGGAACATGGGCTTACTACCTGGGTGGAAATGGGAGGTTGGAGGGAGTTCAGGGCACCGACCACACCGCTGAGATGCCGAGTGCCCCGTTTTATGATAAACCTCGTCTTCGGAAGCCTCGCAAGGGTGCGGGAGCCGGCAGACTCAGCGATAGTCTGGGCAGGCCACTTTCCCTCCCCTACCATTGGGATGTTCTACGATGTCGCTGTGGAGCACGGGCTGTTCTGGGGAAACAGGGCCCACGAATTGCTAGAAGTCATCCACATCCTGATGTTTTGTGCGCCCCGGCTATAGACTGGACGGGGTGCGAACGCATAATCCAAAGGGAAATCGAGGTAAGAAAGAATTATTTAACGGGGGTGGCTCAACTATTCGAGAAGCTTACCGAACCGGAAGGGTCACAAGGGCGAGAACGGGACTAGCACCCGCAGGCAAGCCAGTAGGGCAAATCAAGCACAGTCCGCCACGTTCGAAGGCCACCGACAGAAATAGGAAAGGGGGGGGGGCCTCGGACCTGGATGATCGATAACCGCCAGACGGGGAACACCGCGCAAGAAAACTTTTTCCAGCGGGTTGCCCAACCCGGACCCCTACGCACTGACCAACGGAATAAGGGCGCTTTAAACAAGCCGGTGATAAGGGAAGCTAAGTCACGCCCTTAGCTTGGTGAGGCAGCAGAGCCGGACGCGGCTCCATATTAAGGAAGCCATCAGAAAATGGGAATGGGGAAAAAACCTAATTACCAAGTAAAAGAATAAACCAACAGGATTGGAACCTAGGGAACCTAAATGCCTCGCACTGCGTTTGTTCTGGGGAATCCTTTGGTTATGCAAAAGTAGGCAAGTATGGCAACGGAGGATGAGACGGGTAATCATGAAAGCGAGGGAGGACCAGGCTTAGGAGGCAGTGCTGAGCAAAGCAAGGAAGGGCAGAAGGACAGGGAATCAGCAAATCCGGATGACACCAAAGGGAACCGGAAGAAAATGTCCTAAGGAGAGAGCTCGGGAAAAGCCGGGGGAAGCAGACAGTGGACCCAGGAAAACAAGGAAGGCAGGAATAAGGATAGGGGGAGTCCCGGGAACTCGGAGGGAGCTGTGTCTAAGAAAGTAAGGGTCATGGACGCGAGACACAAACTAGCAGAAATAGAGAAAAGGACCACGGAATACAAGGCAAGGTTAATTGAGGCAATGATGATTGGGAACGAGGAAGGCTCTCTGCAGGAGGTACCGCAGGACGAACGGAAAACCAGCCGGGGCAGAACTGGGCAAGGGGACAAGGGTAGTGACCATGGGGGAATGCCGAGCAAAAGAAGGAAAAAGAGAGAGAACTCGTTGGGAATGGAGGCAAAGAAGGTGACGAACCCCTTAGCCACAAACAGTAGGGCTAGCTGTCTATGCGAAGGGCTCTGGAGCCTCAGAGAAAGGATGTTGGGTTGGTTCGACCGGAAAGGAACGACAAAGACTAGAGGGGGGCAGAAAGCCAGCAAGGAGGGGCCAGATACCAGCATGGCAGGCGAGGCCAGTAGCTCCGAAGGCGGCCTTAGGAAGATAGTATCATCCCTCACACGAGCACTGAACAAGAACCAAGGTTATCTGGCAGTCGCCAAGAAAAAGCTGACTTTCGATGGAGCAAACATCACGGAGTTCCTGATCGACTACAAGAACCTGGTTGTGTTACTAAAGTGGACCAAGGAGGAAAAGATGGACCATCTAGGACAACATGTGTCGTTAAGCCTAGGACGGGACATAATGACCATTGTAGCCGCAAGCCGGTCTTGGAAGGAGACCTGGGATGTGATGATGAGGAAGTACCTAGCGCCAGAGAAAATGGCAACGGAGGCTGACCTAGCGGCAGTTCAGAGGAAGAACTTTGCAACGTACAATGATTTCCTACGGGAATTTACTCTAGTAGCACTAAGGATCCCCGGGGTCACGAACCGGATAATGAGCAAATATTTCCTCAGGCAGTTCTCCGAGTTCGACAAAGACAAGATCCTGTCAGCTTACCAACAAACGAGCAAGTTCGTAAACATGCGGGATGTTGACTTTAGCATGGTAACGGATCTGGCTGAGAAAACGGTAGTAACAGAAACGTTGGCCTTGCTCAAGAAAGGAGAGATCATAGATTTGACCGGTAGGGCGGGCGACAAGGTAAGGAAGGGGATTCGAAGTCTACATGAACGGGTGCACGGGGTCGACAATAAAATTGAAAGGATGGAAGGCGCGCTACTGGTCATGCAGGCGCAAGTATCCTGACCCGCCCTCCCTCCCCAGGAAGCTGTGGTTCCGCCAGGTGTAGCCAACCGGGGATTCGGACGGAAAAATCCTGCTAACGAGCAATGCAAGTACTGTACCGCGATAGGACATTATGTGCGCGCGTGCCCAAAGCTCAACCATGATATTCTGAAAAGAAGGTGTACCAGGTCATTAAAGGGAAAGATATTTTGACCACAACGGGACGGGTGAACTGGAACTCGCCAAGAGGGATGCGGCGAGCCATTATCATGCTCAACGGGTTAGAAATAACAGCCGTAGAAGCCAAACCGGTGGGCGAGATCATATGGGATCGACTCCGGGGGCGCGGGCCGCAGGCCAACTTCATTTTGGAAAACGACGGACGTGATAGGGTGAACGCGACCACTTGACTGGGAACGGTCGGGAGAAGAATTAACTGTGACACCATTATGGAGGAGGTCGCCGGAAGCTCCTAACCTTAAGGAGAGCCCGAGGCCGAGGAACCAGAGAAAGTCTATGGGAAGCCTAGGGAAGAGGAACCTGTGGACAAGGTTACCGCCGCTAAGAAAAAGTTTAGGTATCAAATCCCGATCTTAACCTTGCATGAGCTCGACGACACCATTAGCAAGTTACTAAGAACCATGGTGTCGGTGTTTTTTTTCAGACCATGCTGCAGGCTAGCCCTAGGCTGCTCAAAGGGCTCAGACAGCTGTTGACTCGGAGGCGAGTAGAAATAGGCGACAACCTCGAATTACCAGAAGGGGAGAGGGAGAAGGAAGCTCCGCAAGAAGTGGCTAGCCTTCAAAGGAGTCACGGGGACTTGGAGGATCTCGAAAAAGCCTTTGCAGACATTCGTTTGAGCTTGCCCGACCGGGAGGGAGGCGAAGTCATGAGATCACCACTCGGGACAAAGCTTAGCTTTCATGCACTGCTCGTAGGGAAACTGAGAATCCAGATCGGGAGTCATTATACCGACGCATTAGTAGACGGGGGAGCAGAAATCACTCTCATAAGGAGAGATTTCACAACGATCACGGGATGTACGGTAAACAAGGAAGTAACAGGGAGCATCCGAGGAGCTGGCGGGGAAATCCCGTTCGCTGGGTACGTCACGAAGTGTGTTGTGAAGGCAGGGGTCAGGGAATCGATCTGGTCGTTTCAACGGATGACCGTAATGGAGGAAATGGACCACGACATAATCCTCGGGAGACCGTGGTGCGCGAACGTGGAGATGATAGGCATGCACTTGTACGATGGCTCATACATGGTAGACATAGAGGACCATGTGACCGGCCGTGGAGAGCTCCTCCGACTCCCTGGAACGGGAGGAGACCCCCCGAAGGGGAAATTGGCGACATGGTCGCCGTCGTTCGAGGATAGCATGCGAAAGGAGGCTTTCGCACAGATGGAGGGTATGAGAGAAAGGGTAGAAATCATGATTGAGGAAGCATTCAACAAGAAGGAGTGGATCAAGGTGGGCCTGCCCCAGAAGAAGAGGAGGCAGGAGGACGAAGTCCTAGGTGTTATGGTAGCGGAAAAAGAGTGAGAGGTCGAACTTGGTGCTAGCCTGCCCAAACGAAAAGAAGTACGCATAGACGTGCCAAAAATCGCACTCGAGATCCCCGATCTATTACAACTCATCAAGACCCTTTGATACCACAAGGTAGGAGTGGATTCGGCAGCCTTGGCCAAGTTCGAAAGAGAGGTGCAAAAGAGATATTGCCTGAATGGGAAACTAGTTAGTATTCAACCACGAGTCGTAGAGGCGACGGGGGCAATTCCGACTGTTCATTTTTTAGGAGAAAGATCCCGGAAGGAAGTGTTCGAAAGTACAAGCCGGTAGGGAAGAAAGCAAAACCGATCTCGATCCTGCTAGAGACATCAAAGGAAGAGGCTATGGAGAAAGAGGAAGAGGTCCTTCGAGTGATCCGAGAAAGAAGGGCAACGGAGGGACATCGGATATCAGATGAGGTAGTTGACACAATGAAGATAGTGATAGAGGGGTTCTTAACGGAAGAAAAAACCCGCCTGATCAAAAGGACCTGCCAGGAGTTTTACCTGGCATTTGCCTTTAGTGATCACCAGAAGGGACGACTGGATGTGAAGTTGATCCCTCTGGTCAGAATCCACACGGTAGAACATGAGTGCTGAAATGACAAGGGGTCATCCTATGAATTTGGGATAGCAGGAGAAGTAACAGACCTCCTCCGAGCAAAGATGGACTCCTTCGTTGCGGAGCCTACGGCATCGCCATACGCAAATCGGTGGTTCGTCTTTTGGAAGCCTAACAAGACGCTAAGGTGGATTCAGAACCTGCAGAAGTTGAATGAGGTAACCATCCAGGATGCTGGCTCGCTACCTCAGACTGACTTATTAGCAGAATCGCACGCCGGTCGGAGCATTTACTCCCTGATAGATTTGTACTCAGGGTACGACCAACTTCCGTTGGATGTTCGGGACAAGCCATACACCGCTATGCACACCCCCGTAGGCCAACTACAGATGCAAGTGACCCCTATGGGATTAACAAACGCGGTGGCCGAAGCGCAACGCAGGATGCTCGCCGTGGTCGGGGACATGTTCCTAGAAAAATGTGAGCCTTACATCGATGACAATCCGACCAAAGGCGCGGAGGAGAAGGACGAGACGAAAGTCCAGCCAGGGATCCGACGTTTTGTGTGGGACCACCTGCAGGACATCAAGGACTTACTCCGCCGGTTACTAGTATACAACATTACGGCTAGTGGACCAAAGAGTATCCTAGCAGTACCGGAGGTAACTATACTAGGATTTCGTTGCGGTGCTTATGGCAGGAAGCCAGATCCGGCAAAGACCGACAAGATATCATAGTGACCGACACCGCTGCGCACGACGACGGAGGTAAGGACATTCCTAGGCGTAGTCGGCTTTTTGAGGATCTTCATTAAGAACTTTGCCAAGATTGTTGAGCCTATCCGGGCTATGATCAGGGAAGAAGGAACCATGGACTGGACGGAGGAACGAGAAAGAGTTGTCCAAAAGCTCAAGGACATATGGACATCTGAGACAGTCGCCCTGTCCGCGCCTTGTTTTAATGACGAAGTGGGACGACCCTTCATCCTAGAGACGGATGGAGGACCTTTGGCCGTAGGAGGTGTGTTGATTCAAAGGGATGAGGGAGGAAAAAAGAGGCCGATTAGGCTTGAAAGTAGAACCCTGAACTCCTCAGAACGGCGGTACTCACAATTCAAGAAGGAAGTCCTAGTCATCCTGCATTGCCTTAAGACCTTCCAGGCCTACCTATTTGGGAGGCGGCTCATCTTAAGGATCGATCCGACGAATGTCGCAGGGGCTCTAAAGAATTACAGGCCTATAGATCTGACGGTAGGGAGATGGGTAGGATTCATCTGGCAGTTTGATTACAAGATCGAACGGATTGCTGGAATCCGCAACAAGGCAGATGGGCTGAGTCGGGTTTGCATCACTGCCGAAGGGATGGAGGATGCAGAGCCCATAGACGCATTCCTCGAATACGAAGGATGGACTCTCGCGGTGGATAACGAAATGATGAGCGGGGGATGCACGTCGGGAGAACTATTGATCCAGACTTTGGAGAAGRGGGCACCTGCCGTAGTAACAGAACTTAGAGAAGGACCAGTTACCACTCGAGGACGCAAAGAAGAAAATGACTCATGGGGAGCGATAGTAGGACCGAAAGAGGAACTAATGGCAATGGCGGTCGAGGGAGGCCGGAAAACAGTGATGAGTTTAGTGGAATTTTGGGAAAGGAAAAAGTTGCAATGGGTGGTAAACCAGATGCAGGAAGGAAAGGATGGGGGTCAGGAAGGGGAGGAGTTTTTCTATGTCCAATCATACGAAGGGCTCTTTCGGGAGATCGGACTGTTGTTGGTAGGAAATAAACAACCTACGGAAGTCAGTATTAACGCAAGAGAAGAAGCCGAAAGGTACGTTCTAAGGGGCGGGCATTTGTTTCGAAGGGAGGAAGGTGCTATGCCCAGAAGGGTTGTGTGCGGAAGACCTAGGCAAGTAGACGTTATCCAGGCAATGCACGACGGGTTAGCTGGAGGTCATTGGTCGTCCAAAGGAACACTTGAAAGATAACATCACTCTATTATTGGTCAGGCATGGCAGGCATGGTCGCCATATACTGCCAGACTTGCCTTATTTGCCAAGAACGAAGCTCGGTGCGGGTCTTCGAGCCGCTTAGACCAACGCGGGTGCTAGGGCCGGGACATGTGGTCCATCTCGACCTTGCGGTCATGCCTGTATCAACGGATGGGTACAGGTATATCCTGGATGCGCTAGACAACCTGAGAGGGTTCGTGGAGGCAGTCGCCCTCAAGAAAAAGACAGGGAGGAGTGTGGCGGACTGGATAGAAGACTTCTACTTGAGGTATCTGTTCGTTAGGAGGTTTATAGCAGACAATGAGACGGAGTTTGTGAACCAAGAAGTATTGGGGATGCTTAAGAGACTCTGCGTACCGATCAAACTCATCGAGCCGTATCACCCTGAGGCCAACGCACCTGTGGAAAGGGGGCACCGAACCTTGAAGAACACAATTGCAAAGCTCGCAGCGGACCATCTTGGGAACTGGCCTAGGTATCTTAAGCAGGCTGTCTTTGCAGAGAATATGACACCTAAAAGGACAACAGGATGTATCCCGGCAGAGCTTTGGTACGGAAGAGAGATCAACTTTCCTGTGGAAGACTTGGTACCTACCTGGAATAGGTTAGATGATGATCCACAAATGACCACTGAAGAGTTAATCGAGGCAAGATGTCAACAAATCCTTAAGAATGAGGAGGTCATGGAAGACATCGCCAACCGGGTACTGGACAGCAGAATGAGGGACAAAGCAAGGTGGGACCAGGTTAAGAATGTCAGAAAGGAGCCACTTCAAGTGGGGGAGATGGTATTGCTAAGGAACTCGGCACTAAAAAGTACTTGGTCGGGACAGCTGGGAAGGAGGTTCAAAGGCCCTTACCGGGTCGCCAAGCGGGTGGGACTAAACACCTTCGAAATGGAAGATTTGGATGGAACTGGATTGAAAGGGTCCTTCCCGGGGCAACGATTGGTCAGGTTTCTAAGTCGGGACCCAGTGGAACAATGGCTTCAAGAGGCCGAAGATAAGAAAACTGAGGAGCCACAAGCTAAAGACAGACCACAGCCTTGCCACACTATGGTTTGTCTCTGACCATGTTCATGGGACTGTCATTTTTTGGGGGAATTGGCGCTTTGGCTTGGACTGACTGAGGTTGAAAGGCAGCGTGACTTGGGGGGTTTCAACATCTGGCTTGTGTGACAACGGGAAGGGATGTCTGGGGCATTATACCATAGTTTTTTACGGAAAAAAAAAATGGGGTCATCACAAACGACGCATTCGCATGTATAATAGGGGCATGCTGCGAAGGATGTTGGGAGCATTCTTGGAAAAGGGGGAGGACTACCTACCAGATTGGGGGAATGGGTGCATGTGGGGCTTTGCGGGTGTTGTTTTGTTATACAGGGTCTAAAAGAAAAGAGAAGATGAAGTTTGGTGACGAAAATGACAGCGGGACAATCAACAGGCCTACCGGAGGGGAGGAAGCAGAACCAAGCCAAGGGAGGAGAGCGGCAAAGAGAAAGTTGTATATAGGACTCATGGGTGGCCCAGTGGTAGGCAGGGGAGGAAGGAAATGCTTGTGTAGGAAACCCTCACTCCTCCGCGAGGGAGAAGATATAGAAATATCGTCTGACAGTGAGGGAGGGAAGGAAAAGGCAGAAGTAGAATAGGGAGGCAATGCAGAGATGGGAAATAAGGTTCAGGTCTCTGACGAGGAAGGAGTCAACAGGGGCAAGCGACGTGAGACTTGGCATGGGGAAAGCAAGGGGGGACAAGACATGCGCGACGAATATGAGGAGGGTGAGGAAAGAAGGGAGAACCCGCTTGAAGGACGAAGAGGCCACGACAGTTGCGAGGGGTATGAGACGGGAACAGAGATTCCTTTTACCTACGATCCAAAGAACCTTGCAGGTGGATATAGCCCCATACAGACAGAAGACGAGGATGATGATGAGGAGGATGTGCGAGAAGTCCTAGAAATCAGCAGCGGGGATGAGAGGGATGAGATCTCAAGGCCTAGGGAAGAGGGGCGGCCTCCGATGCACCAGCCGGGCGACGGGGCTTTCAGATGGGAGGACGAGTTTGGGCCAACACCCAATCATTGGTTTCAGCAATGGACCAATGTGATCAGACACGAATGAATTATCAAGACTCGGAAACTCGCAAGGGCAGGGGTGGAAGCCACACCAATGGATTTTTTCAACGGGGCAGAGTTACGAAAAATTGTAAGGATGAAAAGAGAAATCGAGACCTACGGCCTGGGGGTTAGAAAGTCTGTCGAGGAACAGGGTGGACAAAGACGAGGTGCAAGGCAGCAATAGGAACTAGGTGTTGACTTAGCATTGAAAAGAATCACTGTTTTTCTGTCTGCGGAGACATGAGAGTGGCGAAAACGTGAACAGTATGGGCAAGTTGGCTAAGAATGAAGTGAAAAGAGGGTCAGCTAAGGCTGTGTCACGATAAGATAAAAGATAGTTTTT